CCTTTATACCACCTCTGCATGTTCCAAGTTTGAAGTCTTAATGTCCAAAGATTCTCAAGTTATGGTCAGATTTTGTTTTTTCCCTATTTGACCTTGAAGGCAGAAAGGGGTCAAGGTCAAAATTCTAATGCAGTGCATTTTGTCTCAAGATCTTCTTCCTATGTTACAAGTTTGAAGTCCTAATATCAAAGGGATCTCAAGTTATGGGCTAAACTCTATTTTGATGTAAAAGATTGACCTTGACCTTATAAATAGGTCAAGGTCAAAAATATTGGTAGCTTGCACTCCTTCTCAATGTCATCTATCTATGTTCCAAGTTTGAAGTCTTAATGTCAAAGGGTATTAAAGTTACGGCCTGGACAAAATTTGGATGAAGAAGAAGAAGATTGATTGATTGATTATTATTGTTTAACGCCGAGTCGGCAATATTTCAGCCATATTTCGGCGATCAAATTAAGTGTATATGCCCATTTATGAAGTTTTAGGTTTCTCTAGCGGCCCCCAGTGAGCCTACTCTTTTTCGAAAACCAGAGAAACGATCTTTTTCGTGCCAAGGGGGTTGTTATGCTTGACACGGGGCACCATTTAACGTCCCATCCGACGGACTCAAAAATTAAAAATATGTAAACAGTTAAAATATATATACAAAATTCTTAAGTAATATCATTTTAAATTTTGCAGTAAAAATCAGTTTCATGTAAAAATTCTAAAATTGTATAAACAAGAAGAAGAAGAAAATCGACAAAAACAATATGTCTCCCCTGGAAGGGGAGACATAATTAGAAAATGCATAGCTGGTGTTTTTATTTGCAATTCCTGAAAATGTATTTGAGATTTGATAATTTTCCCTATATAATATGATTATCTATAATGATGAACTTTGAAGAAATACAATGGGTAAATTCACGTTTATATGTGAAATCAGAGCATTCTTGTGAGCATTTTCAATTTCTAAAAGACTGATTTTCAGAACCTGAGGGTCGGACTACCTTAAGAAAAGGGTCTTCAGTATTATTTTTTACACTAAAATCCCTTCTCCAAAGAACTTGCTAATTACCACCCTATTTATGACACCTTAATATATATATATACATATATATATATATATATATATATATATATATATATATATATATATATATATATATATACAGACAGGGTGTTTCACAATACATGTCACAAATCTAAAGGTACGAGGGGCATTTCAAAAGTTCTGGCAACTGGTATATAAAATTTTAACTACGTTACGGATTAAAATGACTCTGATACCACTGTAAAGCTTAGGCAAATATGCATTAGTAGTGACGTCATTTTACATCCAAAATGACGTATAGGTCTGCTAAAATGACGTCATAATAGGTATACTCTGTATACTGGGCGTAAAAATGGCTGATAAGGAGAACAATTTTTTTTGTTGAGCAAAGAGCGTATTGCAAAATTCGCTCATTGCTTGGCTTTACGGCAACAGAAATAAAAGCCGATTTAGATTTAGTATATAGAGAGCATGCTCTTTCATATCGAGCAATAGCAAGATGGGTAGTTCAATTTAAAGAGGGTAGAACATCAATTGAAGATGACCCCCGTTCGGGGCGTCCAGTTTGTGCATATGGCGAAAAAGAAATCGTCGCTGTTCAAAATAAGATAGCTGATGATGCTAGATGGACAGTTGAGGAAATAGCAGAAACTAACATTAATTCGTCTGCAGTTTTTGGTATTTTAAAGGAAAACTTAAAGCTTAGGAAAGTCTGTGCTAGATGGGTGCCGCATCTTCTCTCGGAAGAGCAAAAGCGCATCCGGGTAGAAATGGCTTTACAGTTACTAACAATTTATGAAGACTGTGACCAAAGGCGAATAAATGAGATTGTAACTGGTGATGAAACATGGATTTATTTTTTTGAACCGGAAACTAAGCTCAGTAATAAAGTTTGGATCGGTGAAAATGATACAAGGCCTCAAATTGCACGCAGAAACCTGTCTGTCCGGAGAGTACGCCTTATTTTTTGATTCTAAAGGCCCTGTTGCTCAAGTTCCGGTTCCAGAACACAGCAGAGTTACTGGTCAATTTTATCCAGAGAATGTCTTGTCTCAGGTTGTAGAGCACTATAAAACGACCCGACCAACAACCAGTACTAGAGGAATAAAGCTCCTCCATGACAACGCACCTGCCCATAGATCAGAGGCAATAACCAAATATTTAAAGGAAAATGGTATTGCCGTTTTACCACATCCACCCTACAGTCCTGACCTAGCTCCATGCGATTTTTGGTTAAATGCCGTTATCAAAGAAGCCCTCCGAGGACGGCGATTTGCAAGTCGTCATGCAGTCGGAAGTGCCGTATTCCAGTGTATGAAGCGTATACCGAAAGAAGACTATAGGGCAGCATTTTCCACGTGGATTTCAAGACTGAAAAAGTGTGTCCAGGTCAACGGAGACTATTTTAAGGGATTGATATAATTTAATTTATGATAATGACGCTCATTAATTTACCGCACACCAGTTGCCAGAACTTTTGAAATGCCCCTCGTAGATTGTTTGATTATTGTTTACGCCTAGTCGGCAATATTTCAGCCATATTTCGGCGGTATGTATTTAAATACTGTATGAACGGTTTTGATAGTTTTTTTGGGTTTCTCTGGTGGCCCCAATGAGCCTACTCTTTTTCGAAAACCAGAGATACGATCTTTAGCGTGACCAGGGGACTGTAATCCTTGACATGGTGCACCGTTTTCCGTCCCATCCGACGGACTTTGAATTTAAAAATAAAAACAGTTAAATTGAAAATTACAAAAATACTAATAAAATATATACATTTAAATCTTATTGTAAAAATCAGTTTCTTGCAAGTATTGTAAAATTGCACTAGGACTTACATTTGTAAAAAGATCATGCATTATTTGTACACCAGGACAAATTTTGATCTAAAGGTAGAAAACAAAACAACACATGTTATATATCATTTCAATCAACATATTTCCAAAATTACTATTTTATGTCAGAAGTATCCAACATTCTCCATTTCAGTTTCTATGGCAATGATTACATCGAATATGCTCCAGATATTTACCCTTTTCCTGAATAACTTGAGACCCAAGAATGAAAATTTCTGGCCATTACTATGAACGATTCACGGGATATCTTGCAGATTTCTTGTTCTTTATTTTCAGAACCCCATACACACATGATTTGTTATTTACAGGTGCATTTTTAAATAAAAGATGTGCCTAATCTGAGAACTATATGTTGTAACCACTTCATGGCTCTGACTTTCAATCCACTTTGCAAACTCAAACCGACTTCTAATGTCAGTTAATTGGCTTTAGATGCTGCATTACTGAAATCTTGTAAGCAGTCAGACACAAATCAAATCACAGATATCTTAATACACTTAAAACATTTACATTGTCACAATCCATTTACCAAAGCACAGATATAACTGACTTTCTTGGTGATCCCTAAATGATAGATGTCACTCTGTCAATGTTCCAATCAGCTCTTGATTTTCTGAGAGCGCCATGATTTATAATGAAATGTCTTACACACTTTACCTTTTAGTTCAAACTTCTAAAATTTCCTTAATACCTAAAATCTAGACAGAACTTTGTGGTCTGGATACTTTTCCTTCATCACACTTGTGCAATTTTAGGACATCTGTGTTAATAATCAACTTTCATAAATTCAGATTTTTGTTGAAGGTGTACTCCACTTTGAGAACACCTTAAATCATGACATCACTGATGACGTCATCAGTGACTTAATATAGTATGATAATTTTCCTTGTAATTTGCAATATCATGATTTTAGGTCAATATAGCTGTCTAAGGCATTCTAATATTTTGGTACCATGCTTAATATTCTGGTTAGATCCCATTTAGATTGTGACATATAATGTGAAACACCCTGTATATATCTTTTTTCAACTGTTTAAGATAATGCTTGGGGTGGAGGATGACCTAGTCATTCAATACCTCAATAGGATAGAGACCCCCTCTGACGTAATTTTGATCACCTCTGTGGTCAAGAAAGAGAAGAAACGTGAAATGTTGAAGTCCGTCTTTTAAGAAACAACTGGATGCCCTTCGTGGGAAGAGGCAGATGATATTTATGAGTCATAGGTATACGCAATCGATGACTTTCTGTGTAACATTTTCCCTTGATTATATGCGTAAAATATAGGGATGGCAATCGTATAATATTTTGTAACCGATTAGTCGCAAATTTTTTCAATCGAGTAACCGGATAACCGAACAGATCAAACTTGTAATTTTATTAATTATTTAACGTAATTTTTTTTGGCAAAACAATTTGTAAAAGTAAAATGCTTATCTACAAAAATCAGAATTCTTTATTTTTCAGACAAAGTAAAAAAAAAAACAGATATCAACATAAAAGTTTATTTCGCTATTTACTGCAAACAGAAATAAAAAAAACATATTTTTACTACATTCATATTATTTTCTCCTTCACTTTTGAAAATATTTATTCATTGACCACTGTTGATGACTGGTAATTGTAAAAGTTTAATTATCAAACTCCCATGAGTTCACAGTTGCGAGAACAGGCTAAGAAATAAAGTGTGATTTTGATTAAATTATACTTCAGTGCATTAATTCATTCATCACTATTTTTGGTCTCTGAGGAAAGACAATGATTCATGTTAAGGGTCAAGGAACTCAACAGCATTTTATTTATATCCTGATATACATTGTAAACTAAAACACCATAATTATTTTAACGTAACCTTTAGTGAAACGATGCTGACAAATTAAAATACATCGATTAATTTAATATGATATGTTACGGCTAGGTCATCTACGACAAATGAAAAAGAACGCTTCATTGGTTTCAAAATTAAACATTGTTTTAAAAATTAGGAAATTCTTCATAATTAAATGTCAGTGTGGTGAATTAATAAGGCAATCTTGATTTGCATTTTTTCGACTAAGAAAACGATGCACGTGAAAACCAGTCGAGCGCTTCAAAGAATGCTATTATCTCACAAGACTAAGATATATAACTGTCATAATAAGGAAAATTAAACAGGAATTATTCCAACAAAAAGATCTCTTGGATATTAAGCTTCGAAAGTATCCTTGAGAGTAACTGATTCTAAACGGCACATTTTTTAAGATTCTGTTGGTTTAATTGTTCGCCTACAGGCAGAAAAGGGAACTTTTAAAATTTCGTTCTTCAACTGTTCTTTGGATTTTCTATTGCGTTTCAAATGGATACTCCTGAAGACAATTCCGTGCCCCCATGGACGCAGTTTTTTGACGGGCCACTGTACAAAAAATATGTGGACTACATGAAAAACCATGATCTTTCAAAGGTATGACATTTATTTTATAAATTTTCTTCACCACTGTAACTTTCCGAAAATTTCAAATAATTAAATTCATTAACGTTTTTAAAGTGCACGAATAATTTCACAAACCACTACTGTTTTGTGTCCAAAGAAGAAATACTTGTTATCGTAAACTTCAAGATGAATCCACGCCCGTCATTAATGTTAATTACAGGGTCATGTTTAATTCAGATAAGACATAAAAACAAGTGGATTGTGACAATCCTCTCCATGCTTCCAATTTCAAACAAACGATAGCTTTGATGCCGTATAAATCAAATCTCACTATCCCTGAGTAACTACAAAACACATCTGAAATATCCAATTTCAGTAGGAACTGAGTTAAATATATTTCCGTTAATGTTATAAAGCGACCTACTTCTGTTGCAGTTCACCTTTTAGTTGTCCTTAATATTTTTTTTCTTACTATTTTTATAGCTTCATTCTTGCTGTTAATTCTGGGGTAATTAGTCTGAATCATTACTTGTATGCTTGTGCTGACACATTTCATTACGTTTGGAAGAAACTAATGTAAACAAATTTAATTTCTAAAGTTACTAAGAAACGATGCCGAATTAATGATAATTTTTTGGCATAAATTATGTAAATTCTTAGGTGTGCATTAATTAATTTGATTTTCATTGTATTCTTTTCACAGTATTGCAAATTTGAAACAGTAAACATGTTGGACAAGTTACAAACGTATTTTACGCACTTTGTGTTTACACTTTTGTGTTTTTGTGTCTGTGGTTAAAAATAAGTTACATTAAAAATGTTTAGCAGAAAAGGCTACACTTTATCATTCTAGTGACTTGTATGTGAAGTGTATCGTAAATGTACACATGCACATCAATAAACTGGGGATTACTAAATATAAGCGAGGTATTAACTATCGCGTAATTTCGCGAGAAGCACCATTAGCGAAATAACCTTACTGGCTTTTATTTTTATGGTGGTGGAAGTAAGTAAAATTTCTAATCAACCGTCCACTCGCGTATTATTGTTCTCGCGATTTGAAGCATAAGAGCCATTATGCAATATTAAGTACTCATATAAAATAAGTTTAACTTTAAGTATATTAATTAAATACTGAATTAAATGGAAACATGGGTGAGTATATACATGTAACTTATTCGGCTTTGAAAAGACAGTGTATCTGAGTCGGTTAAGATTTTTAAAAGCTGATATTTTTTTATACTTCCTACAGAATACAGAATGTTTATCAGAGATGGTTATTTTCAAACAAAAGATGTTAACGATTGATGTTTTAGTAAAAAACCAAAAAGATTTGTTGAAATACGTTAAAAAGGGTGATTTAAATTCTTTCAAAGTCGAAATAAATGTAAATGTGGTAAAAATCAGCAATTTAAGAGCATTTTTGTTGCTGAAATAAGTGTGATTGAATACTATCGATTTCACATCAATCAGGAATCTTGATAAATGTTAGAATGAAAGCAACATATAATTTATAAATATTAAACGTAAAAAAGGAAGTGTCTTCGGATTTTTATAAAATATATGTTCAGTATTTTGCGTCTCTTGAACAATAGGCATTTTACCAAATATGTACAGCATTACAATATGTGAATTAAAGCTGCAGATTTAATAATCTTTATATACACACAAAACGGTGCAGTAACGCATACTGCCACTAGAAAACTTTCACGTTGTAGATATAAAAGGAATTACAATCAATTAAAATAGCATTTTATTAATTAATGTGTGTAAAATTATTTTTTTTAGTACATATATACAGTAAAAGATACTCTGAGAAATACAAAAGGTAGTTGCAAATTATCAAACAGGTTTGTAATTTACTGTGAACCAACGAAAGCATTTTCCCCAAACTTTATTAGAACGTAATTTCCGAGTGCTTTCTGAAAAGTTCGCGCATTTGTTTTCATCCTACGTAAAAATTCGAAATTATTTATGTAACACAAATCTCCGTACATTTTGTCCAGCGAGGAAAGTGACATCTTTTATAGAATTAAGCGTTTGAAGTATTACCCTAATATGATATATCTATGGTAACTCGGTGGTGATGAAAACCCATTTTCTATAAACTAGGCTAAACCACTGAGAATGAATACTCCCATTGCAAGTTCTGTTTGCTACGCAACTTTTTTGTTCATTAATATGCGAGCTAATTATGTATGCAATGCTACTTAATGAAACCTTGTTCTGATACCTCTCTAACAAACGTTCGCTATTTATAATGTAAATAAGTATTAATTCTGTATTGACCCTGTGAACCTTCAAGGTACGAGCTATTTTCAAAGTCTTTCAAGAACTATTCAATTCAACCTTAATTATTTTTGATTTTTTTTTTTTGGGGGGGGGGGGAGATGTTTAATTCGAATACTAACGTTTTCTAGAATTAAGCGTTTTCTACTCTTACATTTTAACTTGGGCCATATTTTACGCGTTACATGTAAGTGTTGGAACTATCGACATAATGACTCAATGCTTATGCAGTTTCATCGAATTTTTTTTTATTTCATAGAGAAATGCAAGCTTTTACTTTATAAATTAATTGTAATGGTACGTGACTACTTTCGACGTATACACTTTGTACATAAAATCTCTTAGCCTTAAAAATATGTATTTTTTATTCTCGGTATAAAGATGATATGCCATGATTTATTAAAAATATATTACCAGATCTACAAAGGTTAAAAAAAATATGCAAATACAGGTACATGTATTACAGAATCTTGATTACTTTTTACCCACATGCTTACTCCGAACTACATGTAGTACAATGTAGTTAATACACGAGACTACTCAGACTACTATTCAACGTGATAATACACAGTGGTAAACTGTATCCGTCAACAATATCTATCATCATGTTATTTATTTCATTAAATAGATGGATAAAAACGGAATATTAAGCAACAAAAACACTCCCATCGCAGATCCACCAGTCCTGAACAACGAAACCAACTGGATCCCAAGTTACAGCAAACACGAAAACGGAAATCCATATCATGCCTACGGTGATCCTTATTATTATGACACAGAAAAAGTGCCACCGACACTTGACCCTCCACCCTATGGAGATGTGCCTCATGGCGGCCATTCGACAACATCAGAAACGAACGCCCTTACTGAGGCACAAAAGGCAAAACGAAATAGACATACGATTGGTTTTATCTTTTTTGGAATTCTCCTAATTGGAGCTGCAGCAGCAGCCACGGCATTGATTATTCACTACGTTTTTATAACAGGTAGCAATGATTTCTACAGTAATGGGCCAATGGCCCTACTGGGACTCGGAAAAGGTTGGGGGTGAATTTTGCAGGCACAAATTTAGTCTAAAATAAGATGCTCATGGAGTCACCTGAGTCACTTTGACCTTTCTGTTCTTCATCGGAAGATTTTCTTTCAAATTTACTTTTATTTTATTAATTTAATTATCTTTGCGACTCCATATTGTGGATAAAAAATCAGCCTTAGGGGATCCAAGATTTAATCAAAGTTGAATCCATATCTTTGAGATGCTTCAATTTCAATATGACGAACACGGTCCTGCTAATCTGGAAAGAGATTTTCCCTATACTTTACAGTAGACTTGCATTATGTAAAATTTGGATCTCGGTCCAACCCTATACCCAGGGGGTCATGATTCATAAAAGTAATTCCACACAACTAAGGTATGATTTGATAATTACCGTCATATAATTTAGTGTGGTCTTGGCACTCTTAAAACGACTTTCCCCCTATATATTCCCTTGTAAAATTATGATTTCTTATTATGATATTAACCTATTCCTGAGGGCCCTGATCTGAACACACTTGGATCTAAACTACCCGAGAATGCTTGCATATTAGTATAATGAAATATATGGAGATATATAACTAAAAACTTTGCTGTTTATAGGAAGAAGAATTTTAAAGATCTTTCCGATATATCCCCACGTAAAAATTAATCTCTCGTTGTGGTCCCACCCTACCACGGGGCTACACTAACTGAAGATGTTTTCTTAATTATATAACTAATAATGAATGACTTTGTTGTTATGGGAAAAAATTAAAGCGTTTATTCCATATATTCCTATATTCTATCTCCTAACATGGCCCCGTCCTACCCCCGAGGATCATGATTTGATCGAACCTGAATATACACTACCTGAGGATGCTATCATATAAACTTGACTAACCATGACTTTGCTGTTCTTGAGAAAAACACTTTATTTAATATTCATGTGTAAAATTTTGATTGTCTAAATGGCTCCAACCTACCTCCAGGGATCATATTTTGACCAAACTAATGTATCTACACTACCTGAAGATGCTTTGGAGTTCTATAATACTATGCATGACTGAGCAAGGTTTTGCTGTTCTTGAAAAGATATTTTCTTATATATTGCTATGTAAAACTTTGATCGCCTTCTGTGGCTCCATCCTTTCCCCAGGGGTCATGATTTGAACACATTTAAATCTACACTATCTATGTTACATGTGTATGAATATTTCAAATAAATTTCTATTTTTTTCTCGCCCAGTGGTTCTTGAGTAGATTATATTTGAAAGATACCATTATATTTTTACTTATTCTTAATTATTTCACTTGAAAGAGGGCGTGACCCTTTATTTTAACAAATTTGAATCCCCTTCACCCATGTATGCTTTTTAACAAGTTTGGTTAAAATTGGCTCAGTGGATCTTAAGAAGTAAAAAAAGTTTACAGACAGACGGACGGACACCGGGCAAAATGTGATCAGAAAAGATCACCTGAGCTTTTAAACTTGTTAGGTAAAAAAATTGGAGGATATTTTTTTATGATTGGCTGCAGCTTTCACAGTTGCAATAAACGATTCCTTGAGAGAGTCCATAAATTATACCTGTTTCCAAAAAAGTATGCATTTCAACGTTTATGAAAAGCTGTATTAATTGAAAATTGATAGGAAAAAACACATTATTGCAGACTGAGTCTTTATTCGTAACACTCAGTATTCATTAATTACATGTATTAAAAAATTTGTGCAAGTTATTATTTTCTTTGTTCAAGCCAGACCTGCACATCCACGTCTTTATATTTCAATTTAAACTGAATCCAAACCACAAAAATACGTTTCAATTTTTCAGGCACAATTCCAAACTAAAAACTTTGACCAAAATCAAACTGCACACTAAGTTTTAAGCGCGTAAAAGGGAGCGATTCACCACAAGTTTTAACTGGTAATAACCCTAACAAAAATACTATAGTTAACTATAGTTTACTACAGTAATTATCGTAAATCAAAGTGTCAAAGTTATCACTATAGTAAATCAAAGTGATCACTATAGTGTCATAGTGATCACTATAGTAAATCAAAGTTTTCAAAGTCATCACTATAGTGTCATAGTGATCACTGTAGTTAATCAAAGTTTTCAAAGTTATCAATAAAGTAAATCAAAGTTTTCACCATAGTAAATCAAAGTTTTCTTAGTGATCACTATATATAGTGAATCAAAGTTTTCATAGTTATCACTTAAGCAAATCAAAGTGTCTCAGTTATCACTATAGTAAATCAAAGTGTCAAAGTGATCAATATAGTAAATCAAATTTTTCATAGTGTCAAAGTTATCACTATAGTTAACTATAGTATTTTTTTGTTAGGGAAAAAACTATCAAATCACCAGAGTGTGAAGGATTTTTCGATTTAACTTTACTTTTTGTTGATTGCAGAGCATGAAAGGATTACAGATCATAAACTGAACCTTATAAACAACACCACCAGAGCAGATCTTAGTAAGATACTTTATTTGTTTGCCCAATGATTAATGAGCATAATTATTAACGAGCATAATTATTTTTAATCAATCAATCTGGGATCACCTCTCATAAATGCAAACTTAATACGTCAAGTACTGTTTGCGAACGTTTGTCAATTGGTCTACGTCAAGGAAATATAATTATTCAAGATGACGCAATATACTCTTTGTGCCTGCGAGCGGTAAAATGCTCAGTTTTAGAGTTATACATAAAATATTGATCATACTAGATTAATGATTTATGAAAAATGATTTTCTTTAGTTGAAGAAAACATCGATAGTATTTCTATTGATGATTTGGGGAAAATTGGAACTAAGTTGACAACAGTGTCACCAACTAAAAACGGAACCGGAAGTAATGTGAAAATAGATGTCTCAGACCCGGAGACTTTTTCTGTACCTGGTTCAACCAAAACTCCGATTCAAACAGACGAAGGAACTACAGAATCATTGCCTATTACTACAGTATCAGCGGCACCAAGTAAGATGAATTAAAAAAAGTTTTTTTTTTTATAGAAGAGTTTAATCTTATATTTATCATAATTTCATATTCACGGTTCTGTACAAAAGCACCAGGTATACTGTGCATGTTTTTTTTTTTTCAATGACATGAAAAATTCTCGAGAGGGACGTTAAACAATATACAAACAAACAAACAATGACATGAAATTAATCTAAAAAATGCACTTGTAAAATTTGAAAACCCATAAAATAAAGGTATGATGATAGCAATTTTTAACTCTTTTAAATATTTTGTTACCGGGGCCTGTGCCCATCTGATAGTATATTTATGACCAAACCAAATACCCGCATATTTAAACAATGATCAGTTTGATAATAATAATAGTGATTAAGTCAATAGTTACTGACATCTTTTAACGAATACAGATCTCGAGTCTAGTGAGGGGATTGCCATGCGTATCATGTTTCTTAGATTGGCATATATCACTTGAACTTTAATAAAACATTTTACCTGAGATTTATTTCTTAATTTAATAGTTTGTTACAACTTGGAGTTATTCCACCATATCCAAGACGCTCATGTTAAGCCAGATGGCTATCACAAAAAATAATCTTAAACAATGAATGTTGTAGAATCTAGACACATTTTTTATTGTCAAACGTTTTTACTTTTCATTTTTTTTCTTTCTTTCCTGTACTAAAATTACTCAGATCTATGTCCTTGTTTCTATCTATTTTGTGCGTGTTATGCATGCAGCTTACTAACAAGTCCTCAATTTTTCCATGTAGGTTAGACTGGATAGAAACCGGACACTTTGTTTGACCTCGAGACCTAAGGAATCCTCCAACTACATGTAGCATCGCCATTTTAACCTCTGCCGCTTGCATCATTATAAACAAGCAGTCGCTTACATCTCTGTGCATGCTGAATAATTTAATTAGTGCTAATTTGCAATCAAACTGAAAAGAGATTAATTGTGAAACAAAAATTTCATAAATGTAAAAATATGTACCCTTGTCAATCAATAAAATTATATATTTTCATGTTTCTTTTTGAGAGTTATGTCAGTGAATGAACGGTGGAAAGAGAAAGCGGCTGGTAGATTCCACCCAAAGTATTTTCCAAAGATGAATAGTATAGACAGAGGCATTCCCAATTAATTCAATTCTATGTTATGAATTCTGAAGATTTTTTTAGAACGTTAAACCCTCAAATCTGTGGCAATACATACCGATAGAGCGTAACCTTCCTGAATCACTTTAGTTTGCTGTTCACGCAAATTTATTTTTTCAAGAGATTTAAACGACTTTACTGCAGATGTCAGGCTGAAGAACCATTTGGATTTAATATATCAATTGTCACAAAGACCTTTGTTTATTGTTTGTTATACATTCAAAAATATTTCAAAACGGTGGTTATTAACGGGTTTTTGACATTAAAGCGAAAGTGAGATTCATTTTAATTCGTAAAAATATTTTGAATACAAAATTTTTCATCTGACAAAAATTGACTTTAAGTGCAATTTACTTTCAAAATCAACCTATTAGGAAATCTTTATATTAAAATTCTGGCAAAGACCGTTGTAACTTTTTATTTAAAAAGACTCGGTTTACAATACGCTTAATGAAAACATAAAAAAAAATATAACATTTCGATCTGATATTTTGTATAATTTTAAATTCTAAATACTTAGTACTGTAAGTGTTAATAGAAAATTTACGAAATAGTACTATATACATGTAATATCATACTATAAATTGCTTACAAAATCAAACGTATTAAAGTTTAAAATATAATAAGAAAAATATTTCCTTGAAAGTGTCATACAAATAAAGGTTTGCTTGATTTTGTTTGTTTCTGCTTTGGGTTGCTCTTTTATTGTCTTTTTCCTCTTACATATATTACAGAGGTAGTGGAGTTTCCGGATTACACATATGAAATTGGACTTCCTGGTAAACTGCGCTGTAGAGTAAACCGGGTCCGGATGTGGGATGCTATTAATATTAACGGAACCAAAGACTTGGAAGGGCAAAATACACCACTGTCCTTTAAGTTGCTGAGTAGCAACGAAACATGTTTAGAGGGAAATGACAGTCGTATCACAACAGAATTTGACATCAAACGGACCAGAAGACCATCAGCAAAATATGATGATATACAAATGGTCGTTCACCTCAGCGAAATCAAATGCGAAGATATGGGGAATTATGAATGCTGGGTGGATGGCCCAACTGTATATAAAGTAACAAACACGTTGACAGTTAAACGTAAGACTAAAAATTTATATAGGTTTTTTACTAGTAATTTAAAATCAAACAATGACTTAGAAAAATAGCATTTATAAAAAATTTTATAAAAAATTATTTAATCATTATGTAAATTGAACGGTTTTGTAAAAAAAAATAATCTCTATAAGAACAACTACTAAAATGTATGTTCACTGCTGAAAGCACGTACCAAAGTAATTTCCAATTTCGCTTCATATTTTTCACTTGATTCAAAAGCTTATTGTCCCTCTTTGCTGATATTAATTTTTATACCTTTACCCTAACTATTTTCCAAACAAAATTTGATTTATATCTAAAATGCGCATAATTATACCCCCGCTCCGAAGGAGAGGGGTATACTGTTTTACCCTTGTGTGTCTGTCTGTCCGTGTGTGTGTGTGTCTGTCTGTAACAAATTTTGGTCGCAGTTTTCTCAGCAACTACTCATTGCAGATACTTGAAATTTTAGCACACTCTTTGTTTAGGCATGCCATATGGTGGGATTAATTTTTTTTTACAACTCCGATGTCAACTTCCTGTTTATCCGTGCGTCTGCCCGTAGCATACATAAGTTTTGGTCGCAGTTTTCTCAGCAACTGCTCATCGCAAATGCTTGAAATTTCAGCACACCCTTTGTTTAGGCATGTTATATGTTGGGATTCATTTTTGTACGAATCTGATGTCAACTTCCTGTTGATCCGTGCCTCTATCCGTACTATACATAACAAATTTTGGTCGCAGTTTTCTCAGCAACTACTCATGGCAGATGCTTGAAATTTCAGCACACCTTTTGTTTAGGCATGCTATATGTTGGGATTCATTTTTAGCTCACCTGAGCCAAAGGCTCAAGTGAGCTTTTCTGATCAAAATTTGTCCGTTGTCTGTCGTCGTTGTTGTCGTTGTCGTTGGCGTTGTTGTTGTTGTTGTAAACTTTTCACATTTTCATCTTCTTCTCAAGAACCACTGGGCCAAATTCAACCAAACTTGCCACAAAGCATCCTTGGGTAAAGGGGATTCAAGTTTGTTCAAATGAAGGGCCAAGCCCTCTTTCAAGGGGAGATAATTAGGAATTAGTGAAAAAATAATGGCATCATTGAAAAATCTTCTTCTCAAAAACCACTGGGCCAGGAAAGATGAAACTTATGTGGAAACATCCTCAGGTAGTGTAGATTCAAGTTTCTTCAAATCATGACCCCCGGGGGTAGGGTGGGGCCACAATGGGGAATCCAAGTTTTACATAGAAATATATAGGAAAATATCTTTAAAAATCTTCTTCTTAAGAACAGTAAAGCCATGATTGGTCATATTTATATGGAATCATCCTCAGGTAGTGTAGATTCAAGTTTCTTCAAATCATGACCCCCGGGGGTAGGGTGGGGCCACAATGGGGAATCCAAGTTTTACATAGAAATATATAGGAAAATATCTTTAAAAATCTTCTTCTTAAGAACAGCAAAGCCATGATTGGTCATATTTTTATGGAAGCATCCTCAGGTAGTGTAGATTCAAGTTTGTTCAAATCATGACCCCCGGGGGAAGGGTGGGGCCACAATGGTGGATCCAAGTTTTACATAGAAATATATAGGAAAATGTCTTTAAAAATCTTCTTCTTAAGAACAGTAAAGCCAAGATTGGTCATATTTATATGGAAACATACTCAGGTAGTGTAGATTCAAGTTTGTTCAAATCATGACCCCCGGGGGAAGGGTGGGGCCACAATGGTGGATCCAAGTTTTAAATAGAAATATATAGGAAAATATCTTTAAAAATCTTCTTCTTAAGAACAGTAAAGCCAAGATTGGTCATATTTATATGGAAGCATCCTCAGGTAGTGTAGATTCAAGTTTGTTCAAATTATGACCCCCGGGGGTAGGGTGGGGCCACAATGGGGGATCCAAGTTTTACATAGAAATATATAGAAAAAAACCTTTAAAAATCTTCTTCTTAAGAACAGCAAAGCCATGATTGGTCATATTTTTGTGGAAGGATCCTCAGGTAGTGTAGATTCAAGTTTGTTCAAATCATGACCCCCGGCGGTAGGGTGGGGCCACAATCGGGGATCCAAGTTTTACATAGATATATATACATGTAGGAAAATATCTTTAAAAATCTTCTTCTTAAGAACAGCAAAGCCAGGATTGGTCATATTTATATGGAAGCATCCTCAGGTAGTGTAGATTGTAGTTTGTTCAAATCATGACCCCCGGGGGTAGGGTGGGGCCACAATGGGGGATCCAAGTTTTACATAGAAATATATAGGAAAATATCTCTAAAAATCTTCTTCTTAAAAACAATAAAGCCATGATTGGTCATATTTATATGGAAGCATCCTCAGGTAGTGTAGATTGTAGTTTGTTCAAATCATAACCCCTGGGGGTAGGGTGGGGCCACAATGGGGGATCAAAGTTTTACATAGAAATATATAGGAAAATATCTTTAAAAATCTTCTTAAGAACAGTAAAGCCATGATTGGTCATATTTATATGGAAGCATCCTCAGATAGTGAAGATTCAAGTTTGTTCAAATCATTACCCCGGGGAAAGGTTGGGGCCACAATGGGTGATCAAAGTTTACAGAGGAATATATAGGAAAAAGTCTTTTTCTCAAGAACAGAAAAGCCATGATTAGTCAAATTGATATGGAGGCATCTTTCGATAGTGTAGAATGAAATTTGTTCAAATGAGGGCCCCCGGGGGTAGGGTGGGGCCACAATAGGGGATCAAATTTTTACAAATGAATATTTTGGAAAAAAATCTGCTGCTCAAGAACAACAAAGCCATTTGTTATATTGATATGAAAGCATCATCAGGTAGTTTAAAATTCAACACCCCCCTCCCTGTAAACTTTTCAATACTGTACTGATTTTTGCTTTTTTTCCTAGCCAATGTGCTCAGGTGAGCGACGTGGCCCATGGACCTCTTGTTGTACGAATCTGATGTCAACTTCCTGTTGATCCGTGCCTTTGTCCGTACTATACATAACAAATTTTGGTCGCAGTTTTCTCAGCAACTACTCATCGCAGATGCTTGAAATTTTAACACACCCTTTGTTTAGGCATGCTATATGTTGGGATTCATTTTTGTACAAAGTCGATGTCAATTTCCTGATTATCACTGTTTCTGTCCATAACTGAACTTGTGTATTCACATCGGAGCGGGGGTATTATTAGAGAGCACTTTTTCAGACTTTTTGTTTCGGCATACTTTGCCGAAGTTTGCAGAAATGGTCCTTTAATTTCATGGAATCAAAGTAATCTATCCCAGTCACAGTTATCCCTCTTATCTGAGGGTCAGTGAACCTTAATATGATATGTTTCATCATTACAGGGTACCCAAAAAGCAGGCCTATCCTAAAAATCCCTTATGCTATCATCGAAAACGAGCCGATTTCCATTAAAGGCTTCTGGAATAGTGGATTTCCTGAAAGCTATGGCGAATTAGAATGGTATATACTTAAACCAGGAGAAGACGAACATCCATGGACTGATGTCAAAAACACTGTCAACACCAAAAACTGTGATAACGAGGCTGCGAGTATAATCAATCTCCCAATTACTTTACAAATGAATCAAACGAAAATCAAACTACAACCTTACTTTTATCCAGAGTTCAGTAAGGAGAAGCAAAGACGTAAGATAGAGCACGTTACAGAGGAAATTCTGGTAGTGCCTGGTATGTAGAACAATCCTAACATCTTTCATAAAGGGCAACATTTTTCATGGTTACATGTAAATTGTTTTTGCTGGATCACAATATAATTTAAAGTAAAATTGTATTAATAACTAAGTAATTTAGACAAATTAGCTCACTTCATGGACTAAAATCTCATAACATATCAAGTAAAGTTAAACGAAGGAACATTTGGTAAGGGAATTTAAATCGATTCTTCGGTTGTGACAGTACAAACCGAGGTCCTGTGTTGCAGTAGGTGCTGGCGCGATAAAAAAAAATCTCTCACTGCTCAAAGACCGTACATGCCGAGTACAGGTTTAAATTTGCAGTCCTCCATCGGCAAATGATGGCGTCTCAATATGAGTGAAAAACTCTCTAAAGAGACGTCAAACAAACAAACAAACGGATTTAAAAACTTACTTTAATTTTGCTGTTGTTATTTCCCGGATTATTATAAAAATAAATGTTTATGTTACCAGCTGCATTCTGTTCGAACCTTCTCTTTGTACAATATAAAGTAACATATTAATACCCATGCAATTTAATATCAAACTTGTCTTTACTTCTATGATTGTCGGCTATAGGTCGATTTAAAGAGGAAAAGAAAGGGGGAAAATGAATAAATTAAAAAGAGAGATGAAGGTACAAGTTATGATAAGTACACCTTTAAAATAACATATATATAAATCACTTTTTAATCACTAGATTTTTTCGCGTATTACCGCGAGACTGTCTGTCCGCAAAAATATAGTTCTCGCGTATTTATTATGTTAAACATTACATATGACAATAACCGAGACAACGTGAAATTTTGTCTCGCACATATATACTTCATAACTATTTCACAACAGTAAGTGCACAAAAATTGAAACAATCGGACAGTTCATTGAAGGTACATTCATGCTATTTTGTTTCACAGCAAACTTTTGCGATGGGAAGGAGAAGGAAAAGAACATTATTCATCCCTATACCTGCAAACTCTTCATAATATGTACAGATAGAATAAACATTTACGAGTGTCCAAAAGAAACAACGTGCTTCGATGAGGCAAAGGGGGCTTGTGAGTGAGAAGATACCGTACCAAAAGAGCATTGGGAGCTACTTACAAAGGATGAGCAGATTAAGATGACTTGTAAAAATCTGCGTTTTGGGTTTAGTCTAAAACAACACACTCTGGAATATGCACTTCAATAAAGTTGAGATTTAACAATATATATGTATTTAAACTTTGAGAAAGACTGCATATCAACATACCCTAAAATATACATTTCAGTAAGGGTGCGATTTTACAATATGTATGTTTAGGAAACAAAACCCATGAGAGGTGTTGAAATTGGGAAATCCAGGAGCCAGAGGAATTGGGTTATTAGAATTGTCGCAGATTTAAAAGAACAGAAAAGAAACATGTTAATACATGTAATTTAAGTCTTGCTGCACTTTGTTCCATGCTTTTAAGTTTTAAAGACAATTTAATGCCTTACATGAAACATGCATTTTGAAGCCATTCCTTAGAGTAATAATCTAATCTATGTTTAATTATTTTTCATTTCATGATTATTTCAGAAAAGTGTATTATATTTTCAAGACATGCAAACATTTTACTACAAATGATAACAGGAAAACTACTTGTATGTTTTTTTTTTAAATTGTATTATTAAATGTATATAGTCTTTCATGGTATTTGTTATAATTACCTGTTGAACTAGATACTTCAATGCCCCAACAAATACTTTGATCTAACAAAATTAAAGAAATGATAGAGAATCATGATGTAAATTTTGAATTTTCTAGCTGAAGGTAAAGTTTAAAAAGCCTATGTAATAATAAAGGAAAATATGGAATGGGAAACATATTAATTAGTAAAATTACTTAAATAGTAAGGTCTTCATCAGATTCACACCAATCTTTACTCTGTCCCTTTTTAAGTTTTACATAGATCAAGGAAAGTCCATATTTGAATGTTTCGATACCGGAATATAGGCTCGGATCTGTGATTATGGATATATGTATACAAAATGCTTGAAGCAAAGCTATGCTATTTCCGACTTGTGCTTGTAAACAGACAGTCCGGTATACTTTTAAAGATTTATCTTTTTACTTCGGATGTGTAATGTAACAACTACTATTAATAAAAATAAAACTTTAAAAAAATCAAAACTATTTTATATTAGTTTTCCCAACAAGCTTATCTTTTAAAAAGATAGGTGAGCTAGCGCTGTAGGCATCATAAAATACAGAAGTAGATATCTGAACCATTGGTTTAATTTCCTGATTAATTATTAATAGGAAGACACTGCGGTGCACTTAGGGTGTCGATGGGGACCGGGGTCTCAATTTAGAATGGTGAATCTAGGGTAGGTTAAGTCGGAAATAGCATAGCTGCTCTCCAAGCATTCTGTAGCTTACTGTAATTTCAATTTTGAGGTAAATATACAATATCGGTAATTTATGAGATCAGTAGAGCCAATGAGCACACACTTAGTTTACAATATTTCAGTGGTTCACTGTTTTGTAGCAATCACAATGGAAAAAATGTACAATACAAATGGAAAATTATACAATACAAATGGAAAAGATCGAATATTAAGGGGTTTTCTTTATCTTCGTATTTTTACTGAACATGTTCGTTGGCAGAGAAGAAATTGGTGAGGTGTGTGGCCCAATTGGCCTCTTGTTGATTTAAGTCACATCCAGGACAATTTTTTTTTACAAAGAGGCATTTTGCATTTATTTGCTGATTTATTTATTTTTTAAGTAGGCAGCAATTCCAGTCCAGGCATTTTACAGAAAGTATCAGGCAGAGAAAAAATCAATCTGCTTGTGATTTTTGAACTGTTACCTTGGAAGGAAAAGAGGGAAACAGTAAATTTTGAATTGGGACAGCGACCTTTTACTGGCTCTGTATATATACAAAGGTTATTCAGCCCTGGCGAATGTAAGAAATGCATGGTCATGAAACATATTAAAGAGCAAGAGCCACTAAGGGCCTTTTTTGGCCCTGAGAATTTCTATAAAAAAAAAATCGAAACTGCTCCTTTTTGGTTGAAAATGCAGTATTTATAACTTGGATCCTTGGTGACTGTGTATCTACTGAACATGACGTAATTTTCTCTCTAGTCAGTGCATTATGACGTCATAAAATGCGTTATTTTTCCGTATCATGTAAATTCCCCTAAAAATGGCCAAAAATTGAGGTATTTTTTCAATATTGCATATAGAGCACAACCTCTGATCCAAAATATGCAATTACATAATGAAAGATCTGTTTCTGAAGATCACAAAACATGTTTTAATTTTTGGATCGTTGGCTGTGCTCTTATTTTAATTCTTTGCTGAAGGTGGTCAAATATACTCATGTTTTTTGCGTTATATTTCTCCTTTCTGCCTGCAATGCTGCTTCCAGCTGCCGACATGTCGGATGACGCTGTCTTACCGTCTTACCTAACTGGTCCCACAAATGCTCAATTGGATTCAGATCGGGTGAAAACGCCGGCCATGGAAGTGTGTTGATGCCTTGTTGACGTAAGAGGGCAGTCGATAGACGCAGATTTATGTCGCGCATTATCCTGCTGAAACTGAATGACATCACGATGGGCAGCAAAAAAACGGGACAAATGCAGGCTGTAGAACCTCGCTGATGTAACGCTGTGCAGTGAGAGTGCCATCAATGACGATAAGAAGTGTGCGATGACGAAACGAAATACCACCCCATACCATTACGCTCCCGCCTCCCCATCTATCCGCCTCCCAAACACAACCATTTTGCATATCGTTCACCTCGTCGTCGCCATATACGAATACGCGCCCATCATTGCCGCTTAAATGAAAACGGAATTCCTCCGTAAATAGAACTTCCACCCATTGCCTTTGTGACCATCGCTGACGCCGTTTGGTCCACTGTAATTGATTCTGTCGTCTGATTTCCGTCAAATTATTGCCTCTAAATGGTCGTATTGAGTGCAGGCCCATAGATCGAAGCCGACGTCGACCGACTACGTAGACCTTGCATATTTTGTGCTGTTTGTGCCGCCATAAGAAATCGGTCACGGAGATGACGTAATTGGATGAGATGGTCCTGGTTTGGTGACGTCACTTTAGGTCTGCCTGGACTTGGTCTATCATTGACGGAACCCGTCAGTACAATCCTCTGGGCCAGTCTAGTGATAGTCGAGGGGAAGCAGTCCATCTGTCTAGCAATTTGTCGCGCAGACTGGCCTGCAGCTAACATACCATTTGCTTCATGGCGCTATTGTTACTCAGCCTCGGCATATTTTCAAAATGAAACGGTCAATAAAAATTTCTTAACTGGGATTTATTCACCAGAGATGAATGCTAAACACATGCAAATCGCAGTGTCTGGTCAAGCATGAGTAGACTCACTCGGACAAAATCATGCGTCGCTGACCTATACCAAACAAACCGTATCTGGGCTGAAGCATTCAACTGAGACCGAGCTTAAATGCTTTATTTTTTAGTGTATATACAAGTGTTAAATCATATTTGTATCAAAATTGTTGGCTGATAACAAATATTGAAAATAGAATTGCTGCGTTTTCATCAATTTGGAGTATATTTTCCAATATTGGTCAAACAGAGCCCATAAGAAAACTAGAAGTATATTGGAGAGAGGGATAGGGCAGCTGAAGAGGCGTTTTCATGTCCTGCATGATGAGATCCGTTTATCACCAGAAAAGGCATGCCAGGTTATATTAGCCTGTTCAATTCTGTACAATATTTGCAAAGACCGCAATACTGCGTGCCTTCCACCAGATGATGAAGATGGGGAGGAGGATGATCAACAGATTGTAAATGCTTATAATGCCAACAACAACTGCAATGATGCGATTAGATACAGACAACTATTTGCTGAGACTCACTTTTGAATCAAACTATACTGAAGAGGTATGAAATACCAACATTTTATTTTCTGGGTCTTTTAAACATCTCTTTTAAAATTATAAAGATACTTTAGAGCTCAAAAATTGATTATGCTAAATAATGCATATTATAAAAAACGAATATTAAACAGGTCAAGAAGGATGAGACATTTTCATTTTTTAAAATAAAATTAGACATAGTCCTTGCTTATATGTTAACTGGATTTTCTCTGAATGAAGAAAGCAATGCTTTTGATTCAAGCTATTTCATTGAACAATTACTTTTAATTACTTTTTTTAACAAGTGTGTGTACAAAATGTACAACAGCAGCTGGAAGTAGGTCTATCCCCTACTTTCAATTTCAAAACGAACTCCCCTCTACCACTGATAACAATTATGTGTTCAGAAATTTGAGTTTAGAATTTGAAAAATATGTTGTGCCTTTTTTTCATTCTTTATTTACCTTAACAGATGTTATTAATATTATATATAAGAACACTTTTCACGTTTATTAAGAAATGTAATTTTGAATTGTCACACAAAGTGAAATTAGTTAATTAATCTAACATTTTTTAACTGAAGAATGAACTAACATAATATTAGGTTGTCTAAAGTTAATTCTACGTTTAACGTCACCTGAAATAAACCAAAGAGGGAGGGAGGAAAACGATAAACAAACAAAACTATTAGACAAATATTTATTAAAATTAACCTTTTCAGTACATACAACACTACTGAATATTAAAGTATTAGATTTGATACATTGTATCTAAGTCTGTCAGTGTTGCATTACATAATTAAAAGTTTTTAACTTGGTAAACAATTTAGCTTGCACTGGATGAAGAGCAGAAGTGCCAAGTGTTGGCTTCCAACTATATGTCCATTGGATTTATATCACTACATACATTGTAAACTGCATGGTAAAATGCTTCCTGTTGTGGAAATAGTTGACTGATATCTACAATAAAAATCATGATGACAATTTTTATTACATTCTTCTATTAAAATTGAACATATGCTACAGTGTATGTTTCTCTGTTATTTCCATTGAATTAGCATTTGATTTTGAAAGGGAAAATACAATGAGTGTTTTACTATGGCTATTAGATTATTTTACCTTGACTTCCACATACAAAACAGGGTTGTTAGAAAAACCCAATCCACCTTCATTCATTAATTCTATCTTTTACTTGAAAGCCATTGTCTGCTGTAAGCTTCTTCCTGCTAAAATGTTGCAGATGTCTAATATTTTCATTCCTTTGAATTACAGATACATGAATACTGTACTACTATTAATAACAACTTACTTTTTCTTTTTATATAGGAATATTTTAAGATGAGACTATTAAACCAATTGTAAGTGATATATATCTCACTGTATATTGCAAAATATTGTTTTTTCAACATAAACTACATTTAAACAAAAAATCTTTGCTATATCTAATATAGTGAATGGGTAATGGCTTAGAAAATAATGACGAACTGGGAGTGACTCAGTCCGTGATCTGATACTGTAACTGACATATAAACACTAACCAAACCAGACGTTTTCCTTACTTAAATATAAAATCACCTTTGATTGATATATCGCATACAATTTACATCACCAGTTTTCTTCTTGTAAGACACCCACTAGGACCTCACAGCACATTTTCTTTCACTACGGGATGCAGTATTGTGTCG